AAAAGCCTAGGAAATATCACAAGCACAAGAAAATATCACAAGGCACATCAAGACAGGATGGCTTGTGGTTTGGGTGTGCGAGTGTGAGTTCATCTTTGAAGAAAACTGGTTTTATCCGTATCGAAACTACCGAGCATTTTTACTTGTAAACATCCTACGTTCGGAAATATTCATAGCCAAGAAGTTAACCAACGTTTTTGACGATACATAGTGCGAAGTGCATTCTTTATTTTCCATCTTTTTCTGTAAGTATGTCTGTGCGAGGCTTTTGAATTGAGACCACTTTTTTGATAAAATGTCTTAATTATCTTTAAGTATTGACACCAAACAAACATCAGAGGACGGGAAGCAGAGAGTGAGAGTGAGTGCTTTAAACGTTTCAGATTAGGAATTCCTAACGAAAATGACAGATGCAAGTGCTTGAGCAGAGAGCTGCTTTCCACGTTGATCTCGGCCGTCATCCAAATATCTGTCGTTACGATTTTATCATCAAGGTATCGAGAACTGCTTTTCACACATCATGTGTGAAAAGCAGTTCTCGATACCTTGATGACTTTCCTTGACGAATTTCCGTACTAATATGATATTAGTACGGAAATTCGTACCAAACGAGAACTCGTACAAAATACTAGACGATTTTAAGAAAGTACCAAATAAGGTTCTGTTCTTTATATTGTTTTTGCTTTACAGATACTGGTCTGGTAATTTATTTTTAAAAAACTTTAACATTGTGCGATAAATTTCATTGTCCAACTCATGTACAAATGATCTGAAATCAAAGGTTAGCATATAAGAAGTCTACGCTATCTTTATCTGGATGGATCACGCCTCCAGTTTACAAGAGTTTTCATGAAAAAGCATGCACATAGTAAGATCCATAGAGTTGTTTTTATGTTAAGCTACAGAAGTGAAATCATTGATACAAAGAACATTTGAACTTTAATAATGTTCAACTAATGCACTCATTTACACATCATTTTCTTTCGCATAATCGTCATCATCTCTCTGCTCAACTGCTGGTAATTTCAGTTGCACTGTTCCGTATCCATAATCACGATACCATTTGTATAGTGTATACAAATGAATATGAGCTATAGCTGCGACAATAAATTTTGAGCATGCATACAGTAAATGTCTTGTTAAATCGATACGTCGTTTTTCAACTGTGTAGAAATAGATTGGTAATATTAATACGAATATTATAATGTAACTGAAAAACAAAGGATATATCATGCATATGATCGCTACTTTTCGTTGACAGCATTTCATATTTGACCATAGCTGAGTTTTACGCAGTTGCCGTTGCCACCAGTAGGCAAACATAATCGATTTTGTTATGATAAAAACAATGCCTTGATGCCATGCGATTACATTCGTTACGGTATGAATAATATTTATAAGTTTAAACACATATTGGATACATATAACATCGTTATGCTCATAGTTTACATATGTTATTGTCTGATTTAAACAATAGCTTAATAGTGTTTGATTCGAACTCAAATTTGAGACATTTTTATTTATTAATTTTAACCAGCATACAACATTTTCAACTCGATTATTATACGTATTTAAAAATGAAGAACAATTTTCAAAATAGAGTTCGCGTGTCAAAATATTATATATAAATATGGTTAGAAGTAGATCTGTTTGAAATGGAACTAATAAAATATAATCGGCGTCATTATGTTGTTCAATGTTAAGTTGGACAGACGATGTTTTCAGTGCCGTTAACTGAAGTGGTATTCTCGGTTGATCTTTCCCCTTTTCCTTGTGCATTTGAGTTAAAATACTTGAGATGATTTGCTCAAGAGCTCCTCTGGAATAGAAATTGGCTAATTTACCTAATACACGAGATAGTGTCGGTGTTGCATTAGTGATAAATGATAAGTAAGACCATAAACAGGTTAAAATAATAAGAATAATATTAGGTGTGAGAAGCAATAATAAGGTCCAGTTAAGATTAATTGATATGCCGTCGTCGTTTGAAAAACTCATCTTCGTGTACATGAAGAAAAAAAAGCACCCTTGTCTAATTGTTTAGAAGACTGGATTATTTATCTATTTCATTTTCAAAAAAAAATTTTCTCTTCGTATCTGTTCCTTCTCAAAAATAATTAACTCTCAAGTGGATTAATTATTTCTTCCTTAGATTCAGTTAACTATTTCTGTCGTCCTTTTTCAGTCTGAAAATAGAGAAATTATTCAGTTTTACGACAAAGAGATTAGGTATCGCAAAATAAATTGAATTTTTAATGAAATCCATAATAGAAGCGAAAAAGCAATTTCCATGTGTCAGATATTTTCTGCATTTTAATCTCTTATACATTAATAACGTACAATTGAGTTGGATGAGAGGGGATTGTATCATCGTACCGCCGTATTTTTGTGCATAAAATGCATAAATAATAAAAACAAATGCATAAAAACGAAAACACAATTTTTTTATATGCATCAAATTAATTAGAGAGATAATTTAACGTTTAACGTATGAAGTCGAAATAGATTTGGCTGGAGATTTTTTGTAGACGAGTTGAAGAAAAATCTTTTTTGCAAGTTACTTATTAGCATAAGGACATGACTAATTCGAAAATATCACTTGTCAGGTCTTTTCCGTTACCGAGATAGGCGGCATTTTCCGTAAAATAACTACCTTTCCTGCCGGCTACTTATAATCATACCTTTATGAATAAAATAACCATAAGTAGCTCGAGTACAGTGTAGAGACATGTTGCTAGGTGCGAGCTTACTTTTCATTGATAGAAATCGTGAAAAAATCAGAAGTCCGACATGGTTAAAAGTGGAAAAAGTCCAAAATTTGGAAAATTTGCGCGCTCTCGCCGCCCACGGAAGACGTTTTTATAAAATTACAACTACCAGAGAATCTAAGTACAAAGCTACAGCTGCCCAAATAATCAATTTCGCCAAAAAATCTTGGCTTTGAAGCAATAAATAAGAGTCAGTTTTTAGGAAACAATGCCTCTTATCTCGGTAACGGAAAAGACAAGTGATATTTTCGAATTAGTCATGTACTTATGCTAATAAGTAACTTGCAAAAAAGATTTTTCTTCAACTCGTCTGCAAAAAAACTTCGCCCAAATCTATTTCGACTTCATATGATTGCCTTACGGCAATTCAGCTCCTTTTAAAATTACATTCTTTTCTATTATAATATCATACATGATCTCGTTCCCCGTCGACATTTCACAAAAGAAGGAAATAGCGCTTAGTGTCGAGCAAACTCTTCGTCCATGTCTAATTTGGAAGAAAAAATGGCGAAGTTGATCATCCATCCTGACAGATTCGCCATTAAGAAACTATTAAGTGAAACATCTATAGGAACTGTCAAAAAGTTATGATTTAGCTTTAAAAAAGTTTAAGCTTTTCTTAACTATTTATCAAACATCGCTACTTGAGAATTATCCGCCCATTGTACAAACTATAAACTAAATACTGCATACGAAAAGTTGAAATCATGGCAGATCGCATTGTGATAATGCCGGCCTAAGAGATCCATGTATTCTGCGATTCTAAGTAGAGTCAATTTCCACTAAAATTTGAGCGAATAGCAGTGTAGTAGCAGCGCATTATAACCGCAGAACGAATGAATGGTGCAATAAATCAACAGTGGAGACCGGCGAGTCTTTTGTCCATCGTCAGCAAATTAAGGGTACCCCTCTTTTTTTACCCTCTGGGAAACAAGGGAAGCCAATGTCGGATCGGCTTCTAATTTATACCAGAGACAGAACATCGAAAAAGAAAATCGATGTATTTTTGTCCAGAATTTTCTGACGTGTTCTTCTATGGGTTTTCTGGAAAACTCCAGTTTTCATTGGCACACATTACGACCCCTCGAAAAATGGTTCGATCGAGCTCAAAATTTAACCACATATACTTCAGACCCTATCTCAGGTTCGTTTTTTTCTATTCGAAAAATATTCTTTCTTTCGAATATATAGAAAACGAGAGAAAAATTTACGAACCTAAAAGATTGGTGTTTTCTAGACTTTA